GCCCCCATGCCCTCTCTGTACCTCTATCTTTCAAATAAATCAAATATTTTAAAGTATTAACTTGATTTTAGTTCTTGCTTTAAATTCTCATTTAGTCGCTTGAGAGGTGGGAGCGTCCATCTGCTGGTTCATTTTCCAGATGTGTGCTACGGGGGGAGGGGGCCAAATCCTGGAGACAGGAATGCAATCCCGACCTCCCACGCGGGGGGCACGAACCAGGCTACTGCAGCCTTTACTCCTGCCTCCCAGGGCTCACATTAATAGGAAACTTGAATCCAGAGCTGGAGCCAGGGGACCAACCCAGGTCCTCTGATGGGGAACATGGGCACCTTCCTTTTGTTCTCTCCCTCTCTCTCTCTCTCTCTCCACATGTTTATTTATATAAAAGTCAGAGTTACAAAGAGAGAGATCTTTCATCTGCTATGTAGATGTACTATCTAGGTAACAGGAGCCAGAAGCTTCATCCAGGTCTATAGGAGGCAGCAAGGGCCCAAGCACTGGGACCATTTTCCACTACTTTTCCTAGGGCATTATCAGGGCTTGTATCGGTAGTAGAGCAGTCAGGACTTAAACCAGTGCCCATAGAGGATGCCAGCTTTACCCACATCACATGTCTCATCATGATTGTTAGATTCAAACACCACCCTTTGGCCTGGCACAACAGCCTAGTAGCTAAAGTCCTCACCTTGCATGCACTGAGATTCCATATGGGCACCGTTTCTAATCCCGGTGGCCCCACTTGCCATCCAGCTCCCTGCTTGTGGCCTGGGAACGCAGTCGAGGATGGCCCAAAGCTTTGGGACGCTGCACCCATGTGGGAGACCAGGAAGAGTCTCCTGGCTTCAGATTGGCTCAGCTCCAGCCATTGCAGTCACTTGGGGAGTGAATCATCAGACAGAGAATCTTCCTCTCTGTCCCTCCTCCTCTCCGTATATCTTATTTTGCAATAAAAATAAATAAATCTCTAAAAAAAAAAATACACAGAGAGATGAGGAAGAGTCTTCCATATTAACAGCCTTCCTGGAGCCTGGCTGTTGAAGACCACAGAGCACTGCTGCTTTCCAATCCTGCAGCACAGCAACCTCTGACCCTCTTTGTTTTCAAAGGATATCCTATCAGGAACACTAGCTAAAGCTGGAGGCAGGAAAGGCCTGACATTTGCCCCTGCGGTTCACTCCCGCTCCCATCACCACCATGGAGCCTAGCCACAAACATGATTCGCTTGGACTTCATTTTATTAAAGTAAGTGTCATCAAATCCATATCTCCACCATGTAAGTAAAAACAACAACAACAACAAAAACCCTTGAGAAAGTTCCTGCAGAATGTCTAGCTTTGAGCAATGCCACTTCCTGGTACGCGGTCTAAACTAAACCTGATCCCAAATGTCAGAAGAGGCTGCCACGCAAGGTGCCTGGCTCTGAGGGTCACCCACTGCAGACCCGTCCACACACGGGCCCGTGCAGCGAGGCCTGGCCGCCCTCTCTCTGTCAGTGAATGAGTTAGCAGTGGGCCAGGCAAGCTGGTCCTACTTTGGGACAAGAAAGTCTTTTCATCTGTTGGTAACAGCACGTTTGTCCTAATTGTCCAGCTGATCTAAAGGAGTATCAAAATCAAATACCAACGAGGAAAAGCAGGGGTGGAGCGAACAGAACACTAGCTTCCCTCCCATTTCCACTGAGATTTGGTAGGATGCTGTCGGCTCAGACAGGTGGGTGGCAACCAAACCACCACCGCCAGCAGCACCAGCACCACCACCATAGCCCCAGCTGGGCCATTTTCAGTCTGTGCATCTCAGACTCTTGCCATGTGGGAGGAACATGCCCTGCTTATAACAAATATATTGAAACACACAGAGTGTACTCCACTAAGTTGGGTCTGTTTAAGTGTCTGAAATGAGCTATAAGACTTGTTTTTTTTTTTTTAATCATTATTTAGGAGCAGGCGCTGACAAGACCAGTCACTAAGATGTTAGTGTGGCTGGGTTCAAGTCCCAGCTCTGGCTCCACATGCCAGCTTCTTGCTAATGCACAGTTTGCAAGGCAGCCATGAACCCTCAAGTAACTAGATTCCTGCCACCTATGTGGGAAACTCGTATTACATTTCCAGTTCTCACTGTGGGCCTGACCCAGACCTGGCCCTTGTAGCCACTGAATGGAGGGAGAGCTTTCTCTCTCCTTTCTCTCTCTGCCTCTCAAATAAGGAGTAAATAGCGCCCAGTACAAGAGCCTAGTGGCTAAATCCTTGCCTTGCATGAGCCTATATGGGTGCTGGTTCCATGTCCCAGTTGCTCCACTTCCCATCTAGCTCCCTGCCTGTGGCCTGGGGAAGCAGTTGAGGATGGCCCAAAGCCTTGGGGCTATGCATTTGTGTTAGGAGAGCATGGAGGAAGCTTCTGGCTCCAGGCTTCAGATGGGTTCAGCTCCGGCTGTGGCAGTCACTTGGGGAGTGAACAAGTGGATGGAACATCTTTCTATCTCTCCTCTCTGTATATCTACCTTTGCAATAAAATAAGTGGCTCTGTTTAAGATTTATTTATTTTTATTGCAAAGTCAGATATGCAGAAAGGAGGAGAGACAGAGAGGAAGATCTTCTGTCTCATGATTCACTCCCCAAGCAGCAGCAACAGCTGGAGCTGAGCCAATCTGAAGCCAGGAGCCAGGAGCTTCTTCCAGGTCTCCCATGTGGGTGCAGGGTCCCAAAGCTTTCGGCCATCCTTGACCGCTTTCCCAGGCCACAGGCAGGGAGCTGGATGGGAAGCGGTGCTGCTGGGATTACAGCCAGCACCCATATGGGATCCCGGTGCATTCAAGGCTAGGATGTTAAACGCTACGCTATTGCGCCAGGCCCAAAATAAGTCTTTAAAAAAAATAAAGAGTAAATAAATGAGCTAATTGTTTTGCCCAGCTTTTGTGTAATATGAACACACAGACCGTTAAGACCTTGTAGATTGAATGCACTGCTATCATTTCTAGTGGCCACTGAATAAATCCATACTGGACCACAAAGCTCATGGCAGGATTTATTGAGGGAAAAACATCGAGAACAGCATTCATTCTAATTAGCAAGGTCCTCTCCATCCATCTCTGGCTTTGCTGTCATCACGGGGCTCTGCCTACATGGTTTGCTTTCCCTGCACCTGGAAAACTAGACATCCTTTTAGTGTTGATCAGAGATGCCACCTCCACTGTGGTTTTGCGCTGGTCAGTGGACAAAACCCCGTGCGTGTATTTCGCTGCTGAGCACACGTATTTCGCTGGTTGGCCATTTGTTACTTGTTCACCTGCCTCTCTGGGCTGAGCACTCCTCTGGGATGATGGAATGAGCTCACTCGCTTTGGAATTTGTCTGCCAAGGGCCCAGCACAAAGCAGCTACTTGGTGACTGCTCAGTGTTCAACCAGCGATAAACACAAGCTGAACTTTGTCCACTGCCCGAAGCACGTCAGTCCCATCCTCCAAGGCAGGGACTTCGCCACCACTGATTGGTGCCTCTGGCCTCAAGGGAAGAGCATATGTGTTGCACACGTTCCTCGTCTAGGCAGCTACACCACAGTAGGACATCCCAAGTCACCGCAGTAGGACATCCCAAGCGGCTGCTCGCATATCCTGCTACAAAGCTTGGGATGAAGCAAGTTCCAACCCTCTCTCTGTCCCTCTGCAGGACACAATGCCCTTGTCCCTGCTGGCGTGCACATGCCCCCCCTTCCCCCCTCCCCATACACCTCTCCCCTTTGTGTGTGGTTCTCCTTTGACTTCCCAAGCCCAGGCATTTCCCTCACACACACAAACCTCAACACCTGCGGCTCCTTTCCCTGCAGTTCTCGGAGGGCCAGTCACTCCCTCCTTCATGTATATTACCACATTGCAGAAAAACCCTTCAGTGCCCAGCCTCCCTGCTGGGAATGCACACTCCTCAAGGAATCTCCAAAGCCTAGGACGATGCTTCTCTCTTATGTGCAAGTAGGTCCACAACCGCCTCGCTCCCCCCCGCTTTACCCACAGACTACCTGAGGTCAACTGCAGCCCAAACATACTAAACCAAAAGGTACACACGTAGATAACGCACACTTTTTAAATCACTTATGGTAGTACACTGGCATCACTGTTCTATTATTGTTAATCCCTTACTGTGCCTAATTCATAAATTCACTTGCTCATGGGCATGCACTGCGGCTCTTGGAACACATCTCCCGTGGATACGGGGTCTATGGTAACTCTCTGGGCTCAAGATGAAGCATCCATCAAGTCACACTGAGCTCCTGTCATCACAGAGCCTCCCTCTGACTTCCTGACCCCACATCTGGCTCCTGGCTAAGGCAAGCCAGAGGCTCAGTCTCAGGGCTCTGCAGCTGTCCGGTCTCCTTCCCTTCCCCCACCTGTGCCACTCAGATCCCCTACCCCACCTACCCAGCATGCCCTCTGCTCCTGTCCACCTGTCAGTATCCTACCCATCCTTCCAGGCCCAATTGTCGAATACGCATCCGCAGACACAGCCCCTAGCTGCTGATCAAAGTACTTTGCTCTTCTCGGGTCCTGAGACACAGCTCTGGGCTTCAGTGATGCATATGTGTAACAGAAGAGTTTAAAGGACAGGAGTTTCCATACTTCAGAGCTGGACTAACAGCGACGGAGAATTCCTGCTACATCTGTAGGCAGAAGAGACACCTAACCTATCTCTAGAGAACTGACAATCTTTCTCTGTCAATCTTGTTCTCCAAAGCAACACATCCTGAGCTCAAGGAAGAACGGAGGCTTGCCCCTCCTTCTCTCCCGCTAGCCGGCACAGTCTCCCTTCGAGTGAGGTGGAGCAGCGGTGACAGGTGCAGAAGCGCTGTTTGCTCCACCCCCTCTCCCTTCCCTAAACACAGAGCAGCCGTTCTCTGGCTTCTGGAAGACGCAGTCCCTTGGGCAGCACACAGCACCCAGGCGACAGACGCCTGGCATTTGGCATTGGGCACACCTCTGCGGAGATGACCCTGACCCGTGCTTCCCCCGAGAGCATGCAGTGCCTCACCTCTGCCCCCCAAGCCGTCCTGCTTCTCAGCCTGATCTTCACCTCCTTCCACTCGGCTTGCTGGGCAGGTAGAATTGTGAGCTTTATTCTTGGCCTCACTTGGGAAGGGGGCGGGAGGGGGAGGGGGAAAGGGAGGGAGGGGAGGAGAGCGAGGATTCCTTGGCCAGGGTTGGACCTGCACGAAGGAAAGAGGAACCTGAGCTTTCTTGTCTGCAGGATTAGGCATGAGACGCGGGTGTCTTAGGTTTGCTGAAAGCCAAGATCACATACTCCTCAGCTGGGGCAGGAGCAGCCACCTGTGCTGGCCTGCAGCATGTCAGACACCCGCAGCTTGCCGTCCTCGGGTTGCTCTCTGTCCCTGGAAGGCCCTTCTCAGCAGCCTTGAACCGTTGTGTCTCCAGCTTGTGCTTGACCTTCCCTTACCTGAGCTCATCTGTCGTTCGTGACCTTGGTACTGCAACTTCGGAAATCCTGCACCCCCACCTCCCCAGGCATCAGAAATGTTGGATCACTGCCCTGTTTTCTCGCCTTTTCTTTTTCTCTTTTCTTTTTTTGTATTTATTTATTTGAAAGGCTGTCACGAAAAGAGGGATGGAGAGAAGGAGGAAGGGGGAGAGAGGGAGGGAGAGAGGTAGAAATAGATCTTCCACCTGCTGGTTCACTCCCCAGATGATTGCTTCAGCCAGGCCAAAGCCAGGAGCCAGAAATTTCTTCTTGGTCTCCCATGTGAATTCTGGGGAAGCCTCTCACTGCCTTCCCAGGTGTATTAGCAGGGAGCTGGATAGGAAGTGGAGCAGCCAGGACTCAAGCCAGTGCCCATATGGGATGCTGGTGTCACAGGTGGCAGCACCGTGCCCCAGTGCTGGCCTCACTACCCCATAATGAGACTTCACTCTCCTGGGATGGCCCTGTATCTTTCAGCATAGGACCCTTGGCTGAGTCCTCTGCTGCCCCAGCACATGGTCCTGCTCCATGCCTGATTCCCCACTCTCACAGCCAGTCCATGCACGGCGGTCAGCATGTGGGCATCCATGACCACCATGCCTCGACCCCACTCCAGCTTCCACAACTCACCGGCTGTGTGACCTTGAACAAATGACCTCACCTCTCTGTGCTGCCACTTCCTCTTTAAGCCCTGGGATAAGGCAGTGCTGAGTTACAGGGTGGTTGCAAGGAGGAAGCAGGAGAACCAGAACTTAACATTAGCATTGTGGTCAGCATGTTTGTTTTACTTACCAACTCCTGCTCTCTCCGATACGATGTTTCCATTTCTTCCCATTCGTTTTCACGGTGCCTCGCCTATGACAGGGGCGCATGACAGGTTGAAGTGTGCTGAACTGTTGGCCTCTCCCCAGTGGAGTCAGTGACTGGCTGGTTCTGCTTACAAGGAAAAGTGGGTAATGTTTAAATTCTTAGGAATGTTCACCTGGGCTATTACTCCAGCTGAACCATATGAAACTGCTAATATTAAACAGCTTTTTTAAAACGCCAATACAAACAGCAATTTCCAAGACTTAACCTACAACCAGCACCCCATTAGCCAGGTTTTCTTCCATCAGCTTGCTTTGGGTGGGGACCGCTTCCATTCTGTTATAGAGCACAGATGAAAGTCAAAGCCAAGAAAGTTACTGAGTTATAAAGAAAATTAAAATGTTGACAAATTGATTTCTCCCAAATGAATCAAGATCTAGCCCTCAGCCACTGAGTTGTAAATAATTTACAGTTCCAATCAGATTGCATAAGGTAATTGCCTTACTCCAGCAGGACATTGGAGGGGTCTGGGGCTCGGGTGGCTAAAATTAGTCTGAGCAGCAATTTTCTGGCTTTGGCTAAACAAGTTTCTTCTCTGCTATGTGACAACAGGCACCTCGGAAGGACACATTGACCTAGGGTGGGGATCGAGGTGAGAAGGGGCCTTGAAACTTCAAACTATCATGTTTTTTTCTTTTGGCATTTGCAAAGAGGCAGAATGAGTAGACACGTGATTCTCTGAATCTTCTTTAAAAATCGTCCTCTTGGCTTTGATCGTCTAAGATTTGGGAAAGTGCTGATCTCTGTGTTGCATAGTGGGAAGGCTGCACCTCACAGTTGTTGTGCTGCAGTTTGGGGGCCACTGGTCACATGGGGACGAGCAGCACTTGAGAATGACCAACATGACCAATGGGATTTTTTTTCAAAACTTGACTGATTTGTTTGTTTAAGATTCGTTTATTTGAAAAGCAGAACTAGGAGGGGCAGAAAGAGAGAGAGGCCTTCCATCCACTGGTATACTTTCCAAATGGCTTCTCTGGGCAGGGCTAGGCCAGGTCAAAGCCAGGGGGCTACAATTCCATCCAGATCTTCCATGTAGGTACAGGGGCCCAAGCACTTGGGCCGCTTTCCACTGCTTCCCAAGGCTGTTAGCAGGGAGTTGGACTGGAAATGGAATAGGTGAGACTCCAGCAGGGGTCCACACAGGATGCCCATCACAGGGTGGTATCCCAATGCTCTGCTCCACAACAGTGGTCCCCTAAACCTCATTTAACAAATGAAATAGTCACAAATAGCTGGTAGCTATTGCAGAGGACAGTGTGGGTCACCTGCCTTCCTGTTCTCTTGCATGTCTTTTAGTCTATGGGTCCTTACATCTATTTCCATAACCCAACCCTACCCCTTACACTGACAGTGGCTGCCCAATCTTTGCTTCTAGCAGGATTTCAAGAGCAAGTTGAGAATACCCAATAGCAAGTAGCAAGTGTGTTACTAAGAAAACAAAGGCACACATTCTACCAACAGGGTAGGGCTTACCTGGAAGAGAGTGGCCTCATCTCTGAAAGTTTTACCATAATACTGATTGTTTAATTAAAGGAAAGTAACAGCTAATAACAGAGAAATGTACATGGTCTTTCTTGGAATCCAGCTGCCATCCATTTTGCTCCTTATATCTACTGATGTTTCCTGTCATGGTGCTGGCTGTCACTTAGCATGCTACTGTACTGTCATGAGCCTATGGTGTTGTATAATGGTCAGTCTAGGTCAGCCTTTGCCCTGAAACTCTCATGAACTCGGGCCAGGCATCTTCAGAGAAAAGAGTCAACCCCATATTCCATTGACCTTGGCTCAGCTGCTCCTTGGCCCAACAGCTCATTCTGCCTCCGTCTCTCAGTGGAACTCTGGACATCGTGCTAATGTGCTTTTCCTCTTTCTGCTCCTTGCCTTCCAATCAGGGACAGCTCTGAGTGCTGCAGAGCCTAGGGGGTCTCTGGCCTTGGATGTTTCTTGTTTTTGATAACCATCTACCCTGGGTAATGTCACAACCATCAGCAATAAAAAAAAACAAGTTCCATGTGCAAGTTTTTGAAAGGAAGTCAAAAGATTGTTGTTAGAAAATATTTCACATGTTTTCATGGACATTGTATAGCTATGTTCATAGAGAAAGAAGCTGAAGTGGCATATTTGGACAACCACAGGCAGTGAGTCAAGAAGAGAAAGCCTTCTTGGAGTGACAGAGCAGTTGTATCCCGCTGCTCAGTCTGTCCTAGCTAACAGTGCAGCATGGGTGACTAAGTCAACAGGAAGGGGTGTTCCCACAGCTCTGGAGGGTGGAGGTTCAACAGCAAGGTGTCAGCAAGCTTGGCATGTTCTGGGGCCTCCTACTCTGTGTCCTCACATGGCCTCTCCTCCCTCAAGCAAAGTGGCGCTACCTCCTCTTCTAAGCACAACAGTCAAATGTTTTCAGGGATGACCCGTCAGACCTCACTTCATCTTTACTTCTCTCAAAGATCCATCTCCAGATACAGCCACGTGGTTAGGGATGAGAGCAGTGTGGGAGGCAAGTGGAAGGCAGTTTAGTTCAGAGCAGGAAGTTAGCTTGGCTCCCTAAAGCCTCAATAGACCCACCACACTCACAAAACTCAGTATTGGCTTACCAAAAAAAAAAAAAAAAAAAAAAAAAAAAATCAAACAAACAAAGTCTTGCAACTGAGTCTGAGACCAGATTTTCCCACCGAGATTTTTCCTGTCTTTTCTTCCAGAAGCAAGCAGCAACAATTCAGCTTTGAGCACCCACCATCCAGACCCTGGCTTCCTGGAGCAGTGCCCCAGTAAGTTTCTCCTGTCACCTGCCCTCAGCCTGCAGCTGACCCTAGAGCTGGCCAGGAAACTTAAGCCCCCTTGCTTTCTGCCAATGGGTGTCAAGTGGCCGGGTGCCTGGCCTTCCTGTGCGTTGTTTTTTTGTCCCAGAACCATTTGGAGAGTAGGGCGAAAAAGCTCTCTTGGCTTTAAACCCAGACTAGGTTTGATGTCTTTGGCTCAGGTGGCTTTAAGCTCCATCCCTCGGTTGGCAGCCAAGGATGATCCGGGTTCCAACACCTGTAGAAGTTTGGAAGTGAACAGCCATTAAAATTACCTGGTCTTGCTTCGCCCCAGAGCTCAGACTTAGTTTCAGTACTCTCCCTGCTTCTGTTCCCCCTCTAGTTGAATATGCCATGGCAAGGAGCTCGGTCATGCATAAAGCAACTATTGTTTTCTATGTCTAGTGTTTTTGAAATGTTTAATTATTCATTTGAAAGGCATTTACACAGAGAGAAGGAGAATCAAAGCATCCATTTATTCACTCTTTAGATGGCTGCCACAGCCGGGGCTAGGCCAGGACAAAGCAAGGCACCAGAAACTCCGTCTAGGTCTCCCACATGGGTGCAGGTGCCGAAGCACTTGGGCCGTCTTCCACTGTTTTTCCCAGGAGCATTAGCAGGGAGCTGGATTGAAATTAGAGCAGCTAGGCCCAGTGCAGTAGCCTAGTGGCAAAAGTTCTTGCCTTGAAAGCACTGGGATCCCATGTGAGCGCAGGTTCTAATCCCAGAGGCCCCGCTTCCCACCCAGCTCCCTGTCTGTGGCCTGGGAAAGCAGTCAAGGATGACAAAAAAAGCCTTGGGACCCTGTACCTCTGTGGGAGACCCGGAAGAAGCTCCGGACTCCTGGCTTTGGATCAGCACAGCTCCAACCATTGTGGCCACTAGGGGAGTGAATTAATGGACAGAAGATCTTCCTCTTTGTTTCTCCTCCTCTCTGTATTTCTGACTTTCCAATAAAAATAAATAAATCTTAAAAAAAAAAAAGTAGAGCAGCTGGCACTCAAACCAGCCCACATATGGGATGCTGGCGTCACACACAGTGGCTGCTAGCAGGGCTAATTATTAGTAAGTTTTATTTTAAGTCTGGCTTCGTTTTATAGTACTTTTACTGAATGGCCAAATGTGTTTATAGCTGGGGATTTTCAAGGTAGGCCAATTGGCAAAATTAGGTAGAAGAATACAGCTTTGGAGCCCCCTGGACATGGGTTTGGGTTTCACTTCTGCCACCTTGAGGGCTTGGACCTGCATAACCACAGTTGTTTCACGAATTACTGAGTTCTTTGCCACTGGCTGTATTATTCAACTAAAAGGACAGCAAAAATAGGTAACCAAACTCCAGCACTGGGTAAAATTAGGACCCGCTGATCTTTTTTTTTTAAGATTTATTTTTCATTTTTATTGGAAAGGCAGATTTACAAAAAGAAGGAGATATGCAGAGAAAGATTTTCCATTCACTGGTACACTCCCCAAGTGGCTGCAATGGCCAGAGCTGAACTGATCTGAAGCCAGGATCCAGGAGCTTCTTCTGGGTCTCCCACATGGATGCAGGGGCCCAAGGCTTTGGACCATCCTCTATTGTTTCCTAGGATACAAGTCAGGAGCTGGATGGGAGGTGGAACAGCCGAGATACGAACCAGCACCCATATGAGATCTGACACTTACAGGGGGAGGATTAAGTCACTGAGCCATCACCCTGGGGTCAGAACCAGCTGATCTTACTGGCCTGTCATGTCGAAGTTTCTAGAGGTGTTGGAACCCAGACTGCCTTGGGCTGCTGACTCAGGGGACGGATCCCTGAAGGCAAGTGACAGTCTCAGTGTCTTGATGTAAATTGGGAACGAGTGCACCAACCCTGTGTAAAAGCAGTGAGCGTAATCCCTGGCACAGCATCAGTGCTCCTGGAGGCCAGCAATTATGGTATCATTATTGACACTGCCAAGGATTGTGACTTACCCTAGACGGTGAGCGAGGCAGGGCCCGTGTGACACCTCCTTGTCACCTCTGCTCTCCCCCGCACCAGGCGTCGACTTCTGCCCACAGGCAGCCCGCTGCTGCCACACCGGCGTGGATGGGTATGGCTGGATCGCGGCGGCTGTCGGCTGGAGCTTGTGGTTTCTTACCCTCATCCTGCTCTGTGTGGACAAGCTGATGAAGCTGGCTCCAGAGGAACCCAAGGACTTGCAAGCTTGAGACCTGGAACTGAAGCCCCAAGGACGGCCAGGGTCAGCTGCTTGTGAATTGCAGGGCAGGGGGAGATGGGTGGGTGGAGCTACATGGCTCCTATTGTTTTGGAGTGATTTTCAGCTTTAGTCTTCAGCTACTTGCAAAAGGGAAGGAGTGAAGAGGGATCCAAGGAGGCCAAGCCAGTAATGCCTTCACTCCTGGCCTAAAGAAGAAAGCTCTGGTTAAAGAGGAGCCATTCCACAGGCCTGTGTGGAAAGAAGTTTCTTGGTGTCAGTTCAATAGTTATCCCCTTCTTATTCTAGTCCTTTACTTACTATCATTCTTCCTTCATCATTGCCCCATGGTGGCCCTGTCTCCCCGTCCTGCTATCAGCACCCTTGTTCCGGCCCCGTTAACACCAGCCCATGTTCTCTCAAGGATGCCTTACTCTGTCTCAAGGACTGGAGCTGTTGTGCCCAGCTTGCCCCAGCCCCGCAGAAGCACCACAGCAGGCACTATGGCTCTCTTGCTGCCATTCATTCACACAAGCTCCTCATGACCCAAACCTCACAGCCTGGCAGCAGGCCCCACGTGCGAGCACAACCGTCTTTCCAGGAGTCAGGGTCCCCACAGGTCCTCTCACTGTCCTGATGTCTTCACTTTCTCTGCTACCTCTCAGGCCTCAGGACTGCACGCCATTCCTCAAAGACCAGCTCAAAAGCTAGAGGCCTCAGTGACTGCTCCTGGGCAGCCTGGAGCCTGTGCTCCTGGACACTGCTGCCCTGCCCTGAACTGTGGCCACGGTGAAGGGGCCTCTGCACAATCAGCTCCCACTTCCTTCTGTCCTGCATGTGTGTGTCCACTGGATGGAAGGAAGAAAGGCGAGAATGAGTCCTTGCCCTGGATAATTTACAAACCATCCCTTCGCGCTGAGAATACCCATTTTTCTGCAAATGGTTCAAGTCCTGAGCCCCTGGGAGCCATGGTCTGGTCATTTCTCTCCACCACCAACAGTCATCGTCAGTTAGCATGGGGACTGGCCGTTGCCTCTGGGAACTCTTCCTGTGGAGGCCATGGCGGGAGGTGGCTCCAGGAGGAAGAAAGGACAAAATGACTCTTCATGGAACTATTTCTGCCCTCTGAGAAAACACATCTTTAGATCAGATAAGCTCAAAATAGTAAACATAGAGAAAGAAAAAGAAAAAAGAAGGGCCCTTAAAATAGGAGGAAACATTTTCTAGACATGGAAAATGAGTCAAAGCTATTAAACTGCTCCTTCAAAACATCTGAATAGATTTCCCTGACAGCAGGGACACAGGGCATGGCCCAGTTTATCCTGCGGTCTTCTAGAAGGTCAGGGAGTTTCCAAACAGCAGGTGTGTAGTACCCTGGGAGGCTCTGCTCTTCCTAAGTGTTCAGTGATGATGGGCCCAGTGTCTGCCCAGGCCCCACGCCCTGTGCTCCCCTGGGACCTGCACACAGAGAGGCCCTCCCCACGAGGTGAAAACACCCATCAAGGAAACACTTTGAGTTCATACCCACATTTGAAAAACAGAGGTGTGTAACCTGGCCCAGGCTGAGGCCAGGAGCCCAGAGCTCCATCAAGGCTCCTCACGGGTGGCAAGGGCTCACGCACTTGGACCATCCTTTGCTGCTTTCCCAGGTACATTAGCAGGGAGCTGCTTCAGGCGTGGAGCAGCGACTGGGAGCTCCAACCAGCACACACAGGAGATGTTGGCATCACAACAAACAAATTAATTTTTGGGCAGTGTGAAAAGAAATGTCACTTTCTCTTGCTGGCATTCACTTTGTAAGCAGAAAAATACAGCAATGGGATCAAAACAGTGATTTTAAGCTCAGTTGCGAAAGCTCAAGGGGCTGTTTGAGGAGCTGCGTGGAAGGGGGGGATATACCAGGCAAACGTCTCCCCAGCATGAGTAGCTAGGCTCTAATCTCCTTGCTAAAATCTCCTTCGTTGCTTTTGTAAGTGTCAGGTCAGAACCCCGGCTAGCGTGTAAGCTCCCCTTCCAGCCTGGGGGTAACACCATCCCTTAGATCCATAGCCGGCGACTAGATTGACTTTTCACCACATCACACAAACAGTTAGGCATTCTGTGTGTGGCTCCTCTTTCGGAGACCAGTAAGGAGGTCCTGCAATGGGATGGTTCTGGCACCGCTGTGGCATCTCCCGGGCATCTGAGGCATGGGAAATATTAAATTATTACTGCACAGAAAGGTCTACCCATGAGTTCAGAGACAAACTCCCAGAGAAAAGCACGGCATCCGTGCACAGGCACCTCAGAGCTTCTAAATACTCGGCGAAAGGAGCTGCTTTGTAGCTTACACGTGCGTTTTCATCTGGACGCTTTTCCTCAGTAGTGAATACAATCCCCAGTACTGCTACAGACTTGTACATCAACATGCCATGTGGACAAATAAAACCTTCAATAGGAAGGTGTGACACAGCTACCTTCCGTCTCATTTACTTATTTGAAAGGCAGTGGGAGGGGGTGGGAGCGAGGCAGTGTGGAGAGAGAGACTGACCTCAAATGCCCACAGCAGCCAGGGCTGGGCCGGGCCAAAGCTGGAAGCCTGGATCTCATTCTGGATCTCCCATCTGTGTCGTGGGGACCCAAGCCCCTGAGCATTCACCTGCTGTTTCCCAGGATGTGCCCGAGCTGGAAGCTGGATCCGAAGCAGAGAAGCTAGGACTCAAGCCAAGTACTCTAACACAGGATGTGGGCATTGCAGGCGGTGTCTATAGCACCAAGCGCCCACACACCCGATTTTAAGATCATCACTCTTCCCGCCTATTTCTTTTTATATGGATAATACTCAAGGGCCTGAAAAAAAATCCCAAATATACAATTTTCCATGAACAGTGGTATAGAAAGCAAGATAATAATTATAAAAAAATCTTTGGATAGCTTGGGCCTTGTCTTGGCACTCTGAGCTGTAGTGAATTATCGACAGCTGGGTGGCTGTGAAACACCAGAAATTTACTTCTTACTCTTCTAGAGCCTGTAATCCTGAGACCAGGGTGCCAGCCTGGTTGGCCCTGGCAAGGGTGCACCTCAGGGAGGATGCCACCCCCTCACCGTGTCCTCTCACAGGAGACAGGACAAAGATGCTCTCTGGGGCATCTTTCCTGAGGACAAAAATCCTGCCCACGCATGCTCCATCCACCTGGCCTAACCACCTCCCAAAGGCCTCTGCTCCGAGTATCAGCGCCCTGGGAGTCAGGATTGGACATGAGTATCGGGGGAGGGGAACACAGACATGCTGTCTATAATGGGTCTCACTTCCACCCAAAATATATGGACTTTTATGTTGACATTTTTGTTTATTTGTATATTTATTTATTTGTTTCCATTGGAGACAAGGAAAGAAAGCTATTAATCTCCAGCCTGATGATTCACACTCCAAATGCCTACTAACATCCAGAGCTGGACAGGGCTGGGAATTCAATCCTGATCTCCCACATGGGTATCTTAGCCGAAAGCTGGAGTCCACCCCAGGTACTCTGATGGGATACGCACATCCCAAGAAGGCACCAGACACCTGCCCTTGTCAGCATACATTTAAGGAAACAATCCAGATGTCTTTGGGAAGAAACGGCTCTCTCCATTGTGCACCAATGGTACGGCTCTGCAGGTACTTCATGACAGGTTGCCCCTACAGCCTGCACCTGGCATCCATTCCCAGCCTTGCCCGGCACAGCCCAGCCTACTCGCTTCTTTCAGTGTGATCTTTCAATATGGAAATGAGTGACCACAGCAGCCAGCCCTGGATGCTCTATGGCTCCTCCTTGTGGACAGGTGGAACATGGCATGAGGTCTGCAGAAGCCTCTGTAATAGGATTCCCAGGCAGTCTCCTAATCCGATTGCTTGCGTAGCTTTCAGGGTGAACCCAGTTCTGAGTTGTTTCCGTTCCTTCCCCATGCCTTCCGTCTGCCTGTCCCCACTGTCCCCACGACCTGGAACATACCCTTCTGAGAGGCAGATATGCTAGGAACCAAAAGAAGCTTAAATCTAGGTCCCCTACTCTGCCAGAGCCCCTCTGCTATTGTATTCCTTATTTGGTATTCTTTTTAGTTGGTGGGTGGATTTTACCCAGGCCTTCTGGCTTCCTCTAGGGCCCATAACCCTGGGTCAGCTTTTGCTCTGCCTCTGCCTTTCCAGATCACCACTCTTGGGCCTCCCAAAGCAAGCCATTCCCTGAACCCCGGAGAGTGAAGGATACAGACACAGTAGCCTGTGCTCACTCTACAGAAGCACTGATAAAAATCTAGCCAGATACTCTCTGAGCTCTCTTCTCAAATAGACCTTCATTTTGGCCCAAAAGACCTATTTTCTTTTTGCTTATTTTTTTAAAGGTTTATTTTTGATGGTGTTTACATAGTTGAGAAGGATGCATGCCCATGTGGACCACTGATGAGGGCAGCAAGAATCAAAGAATGGGTGAAAGTGGATGAGACCAATGTCTCCATGTTTCTTTTTCTTCTTCCTGTATCTGGGGAAAGGGAGAGGGCAGAGGAACTGCAGCCAGCATCCTAATCACATCAACACCCGGGGATGGGGAATGCTCATGCCAGGGTCCCCGATATGGAGCATGCTCCGAGTTCTGCTCAAGTGGTTTCGGCGGTTCTGAGCTGCTGTTGATTTTGCTGCTTCAAGGATGGGGAAATCCTTCCAAGGTCCATTGACTGACACTGCCACCTTAGATGCTCCATTTATCCAGTTACTTGCTATCAACGCTTGGCTGGGAGAGTTGTCTAATTTGTTTTTCCCTCTATCCTCTGCTGTGGTACCAAATGTCCTCTGCAGGCCTAGCCCTGACACATGCACTCCACGGATGGACCAGGCTGCTGAGAAGCAGAGGTGTGGCAGGGCCTCTCTCACGCTTCCGTGGCAACCCGGCCAGCACAACACCTTCCTGGGGATATATCGCAACCCCTACTCAAACCCAAGGACTCTCCTGCTCCCAGTAGCACTATGCTGAGGACACATCCAAGTTGTAGCAACGC